ATCTGCTGAGTGGTACTAGCGGGGGTGGGGCCTGTGGCAGCTCACCACCCCCTCAGCCTTCATCTCTCCCCCCTCCACCAGTTATTTCCTTCCTGCTCACCTTGCCAAGGTTTTTCGCTTGTTCCGGACCCAAAAGCTGCCTCTTGTTGTCTCACCTTCAGTTCTTGGGACTTGAGCTAGCAGCTTACCTGTCAATCTTGGGATTCATCGATCTTCACAGCCTGTGAGCAAGAGTTCTGCACCCCAACCTGCTGATCTTGGGTTTGCTACCCGCTGCAGCTACATGAATCAGGGAAAACCTTGCAGTCTTGCCTCCCGATCTTGGAATTTGTCAACCTGCACAGCCTGTGAGTGGAAGCCCTGCTCTCTGACCTGCCAATCTTGGGTTCGCCACATTCTGCAGCTGCATGAACTGGGAGAGGCCTCTACCCTGATCCATGGACTTGTAATGTTCTAGCCTCTACAATCACGTGAGCTGTTTCCTTGATATAAATCTCTCTATATACATATTTATACGCTTTACTGGTTTTGCTTCTCTAGAGAACCCAGCCTAAGACACACATGCAAGTAAAATTTTGCTGAAGATCATTCAAAAGTGGCTACAGCAGTATATCAACAGGGAACTGCCAGAAATTCAAGCTGGATTCAGAAGAGAACGTGGAAACAGGAATTATCATTGCTGATGTCAGATGGATCCTGGCTGAAAGAGAATACCACAAAGATGTTTACCTGTGTTTTATTGACTATGCAAAGGCATTCAGCTGTGTGGATCATAACAAATTATGGATAACACTGCGAAGAATGGGAACTCCAGAACACTTAACTGTGCTCATGCAGAACCTGTACATAGATCAAGAGGTAGTCATTCAAACAGAGCAAAGGGATATTGTGTGGTTTAAAATCAAAAAAGGTGTGCTTTAGGGTTGTATCTTTTCATCATACTTATTCAGTCTGTATGCTGAGAAAATAATCCGAGAAGCTGGACTATATGAAGAGAACTCAATATCAGGACTGGAGTAAGACTCATTGACAACCTGTAATATGCAGATGACAGAGCCTTGCTTGCTGAAAGTTAAGAGAACTTGAAGCACTTACTGATGAAGATCAAAGACTACATCCTTCAGTATGGATTACACCTCAACATACAGAAAACAAAAATCCTCATAATTGGACCAATAAGCTACATCGTGATAAACGGAGAAAAGACTGACGTTGTCAAGGATTTCATTTTACTTGGATCCACAATTAACACCCATAGAAGCAGCAGTTAGGAAATCAAATGACACACTGCATTGAGCAAATCTGCTGCAAAAGACCTCTTTAAAGTGTTAAAAAGCAAAGATGTTACTTTCAGGACTAAGGTGCATCTGATCCAAGCCATGGAATTTTTAATCGCCTCTTATGCATGTGAAAACTGGACAATGAATAAGGAAAACTGAAGAATAATTGATGCCTTTGAATTACAGTGTTAGTGAAGAATACTGAATATACCAGGTACTGCCAGAAGAACGAACAAGTCTGTCTTGGAAGAAATACAGCCAGAGTGCTCCTTGGAAGTAAGGATGGTGAGACTTCATCTCACGTACTTTGGACATGTTTTCAGGAGGGATCAGTTCCTGGAGAAGGACATCGTGCTTGGTAAAGTAGGGGGTCAGCAAAAAAGAGGAAGACCTTAGACGAGATGGACTGATAAACAGTGGCTGCAAAAATGGGCTCGAGCACAGCAATGATCGTCAGGATGGCACAGGACCGGGCAGTGTTTCGTTCTGTGGTACATAGGGTCGCTATGAGTCAGAACCGATTCGCCAGCAGGTTATGGACTAAATGTAGTAAATCACAATCTGCCTGTATCTGTCTTTTATATTTTAAATAAAATCTTCATATGAAGTATATTCTGTAAGAGCTAACTATTGAAAAACGGTAATTATATTAACTATTTGTAACTCTAAAATGCTTTTTAAGGAACATATTCAGATCTATGTAGATCTATATGTGAACCTAGAAAATAAATCATTGCTGAAGTACATTAGACTATATTACTTTACCTTTCCAAGAATGGACTTTGAGAGCTCCCTTATAATGAGGTTACAGGATATGATTTCCTTCAGAGATGTATTTTCCAATGACGGGTGGTGACAGATGAGCAGACAGAAAGGTAAGGCAGCACATTCTTAAAATAAAAATGAACCCAAAGAAATCTTATCAAGTTAAAAAGAGTTTCTGCTCTCGTAACATTATTGGCTTCTCCTTCTTTCTCCATCTCAACGTCTGCTAAATTCTGTGTTTTTTCTAATAGATTAGTCTCACTGAAGAAAAGCAGTATCTCATGTTTGTATTCTTCACAATTCCTTGAACAATATCTTGAAAATAGTGGGTATTTAGTAATTTCTTGCCAAATAGGATATAATGTCTGCGAGCATATTCCAGAAGGCAACACGAATGATAGGGAATCTGGAAACCCTTTGACATGAAAAATATTTAAATGAGCTAGGGATGTCTATTCAAGTGAAAACCAACGTACTGAACAGTTATCAGTTAAAAAGTTTAAGGAAGCTCATCATTAAGTAGAGCTTTGAAAACTAAAACTACCTCACACCCGTACAGGATGCTTCACTTAAAGACAGAACTGAATATCCTCCATACTGGAGATATTCAAGCCCAAACTAGATGCTCATTAGGAAGATTGCCTAAAGGAATTCCTATGTGAGAGTACGGCCTACATCAGTGGATACCAAATCTGTGCACTGAAATCACTCGGGGTATTGGCCCTATAATAAAACAACTGAATTAAACTCTCCAGGGAGTCGGGTCTAGGAATTTGAATTTTTTTAAAAGCACCTCAGGTATTTTTGATATAGCCAGTTAGGAACTAGTTTTCTGAACCACTGGCCCAGATGATCGTTAACTCAAATGCTTTAAAAGCACTTATGCAGAGTGAAAACTATATAATCTGATAATTACAATATAAATGTTTGATGCTAAAGGAAAGAGCTGAATCTAACAAAATGAGAACTAATGGGGATAAATGAGAAAGACCTAAGGTTGGAGTTAAACTTGGCCACACTAATGTGGAATGAGTCATAATTGAGTTGTGACCCTATACATAAAAAAAGGCTTGGTGGTTTTAGTCAAAAGAAAGAGTACTGGAAAAAGTATGAGTTCTGACTGCAAATACCTGAGTCAAAAACTAGCTCCTCCACAATTAACTAAATGTTCTTGAGCATGTGACTTGACCTCTGAGCCTTAGCATTCTCATCTACAAATGAAGGTATTATCAGCCTCACAAAGTTACTGAGTTATAAAAGCAAAATCTTTGAAGGATTTTTGGCATTATCAAGCAATAATCTCATAAGAGATAAAAAGACGAAAAAGTCAGTGGTTAGAAATAATTCATAAGACGACAAAGTAAAGCTGCTAGTACTGACAGCAGCTTGAAAAAGCAAAAAAGACTTTCTATGACACTTTATTATTAAAAAATGAATATTCCCATTTCAGACAGCATATAGACTCAACTTGCTTATTTATAATACCCAAATGATACTAATGAATTTTAAACTTTTTTGCTGTAATAAGCAGGTAATTTTCACGGCTTTTTTCTAAAAATTTTCACATGATATCTTATTTCCATACTTCAAAAAAGGGGGGAAGGGATTTTGAAAGGCACTTCACTTAAAAATGGAAAATCTTAACTCATGTAGAGAAATTCCATGTACAGATTGATGAAGGCAAAGTCATGAAAGCTCCACAGACACATCCAAACTCCCTGGGGGACCAAATTACTGGGCTGAGGTCCGTGGGGACCATGGTCTTGGAGAACATCTAGCTCAACTGGCATAGCATAGTTTATAAAGAAAATGTTCTACATTCTAGTTTGGTGAGTACCGTTTGGCATCTTAAAAGCTTGTGAGCGGTCATCTAAGATACTCCACTGGTCTCACCTCATCTGGGAGCAAGGAGAATGAAGAAACCAAGGACACAAGGGAAAGATTACTCCAAAGGACTAATGGACCACAACTACCACAGCTTCCACCAGGCTGAGTCCAGTACAACTAGATGGTGCCCGGCTACCACTGACTGCTCTGACAGGGATCACAACAGAAGGTCCCGCACACAGCTGGAGAAAAAGGTAGAACAAAATTCTAACTCAAAAAATAAAAAACAAAGACCAGACTTACTAGTCTGACAGAGACTGGACAAACCCAGAGAGTATGGCCCCCAGACACCTTTTTAGCTCAGTAATGAAGTCACTCCTGAGTTTCACCCCTCAGGCAAAGATCAGGCAGGCCCATAAAACAAAACGAGACTAAATGGGCACACCAGCCCAGGGGCAAGGACAAGAAAGCAGAAGGTGACAGGAAAGCTGATAATGGGGAACCTAAGGTTGAGAAGGGGAGAGTGTTGATATGTCGTGGGGTTGGCAACCAATGTCACAAAACAATATGTGTATTAATTGTTTAACGAGAAGCTAGTTTGCTCTGTAAACCTTCATCTAAAGTACAATAAAAAAATAAAAACAAAGAAATTCCATGTATAGAGACTGGAGGAACCCCCGAGACTATGGCCCCCAGACACTCAGCTAACTCAGAACTGAAACCATTACCGAAGGCCACTTTTCAGACAAAGATTAGACAGGCCTATAAAACAAAAAATAACACAAGTGAGGAATGTGCTTCTTAGTTCAATCAAATATATGAGGCCAAATGGGCAACTCCCATCCAAAATCAAAGGCAGGAAGGGAAAGGAACTGGATGAATGGACACAGGGAACCCTGGGTAGAAAGGGGGAGTGTGCTGTCACATTGCAGGGATCGCAACCAATGTCACAAAACAGTATGTGTATAAATTTTTGAATGAGAAATTTTTTAAAAATACCATGAAATAAGCTTACATAAAGTACATCTAAATGGAAATATCAACACATAACCAGCTATTCACTAAATATTGTTACATTTTCACAATTGCTAAAAACTATTTTACATTTGTAAGAATAATGTTACTCACAGGTCTTTCATTAGGGTCAATGAAAAATATTTTGATGATTATTTCAAATTCACCCCATCCCGTTTCAGTAATTTCATATGGAGGCTTAGTAACAACTGAAGAAAAAAAAAATAAATTGTAAATTACTGATTTACTTTTGTTTCCTAGCTCCTTTTAAATTTGTATATTATGAATTAAAAAAATTAAAAAAAACTGTGCTGTACCTCTTAAAGGATTGCCATAGCTTTCGTGTAATTTAAACTGGATTTTCTTCACATATGCTGACATATCCTAAAATATAATTAATGAAATTAATTATTCTTCCATCTACATATAAAATCTAAGAAAGAAATACACTGTGTATATGAACCTAATTTTATAAAATACATTTCCCTTCAAATTTTATGAAATCTAATTTTCTAAAAAACATGAATTATACCTGGGAAGTTTTTTTTTTTTTTAAAAAAAAACAAAGGAAGTCTGTGTTGAATTCTTTCATTAATTATGCATTAGTACACAGTACAGAGCAATACATATGCCTCTAATTTGTTTTGCAAATCTTTTTATATACTTCTACAGACAATACTCTAAGTCAATTTTGATTTTTTTTTAATTGTGGTAAAAATAAGTATAAAACATTAACAATTTCAACATTTTTCACACATATAATGACATTAAATTCAAAATGTTGTGCAACCGTCATCACTATCTGTTTCCAAATTTTTCCATCATCCTTAACAGAAACTTGGTGCCCCCTAAGCAATGGCTCCCCCTTCCCTTTCTCTCCCAGCCCTGGTAACCACTAATAATCTTTGGTCTCTATACATTTGTCTATTTCGTGTAAGTAGGATTATACAATATTTGTCCTTTTGTAACTTGTATCTACATGTATTTAATTTAGTTTTTAAAAAATAAAATCAGGATCATATTATAAAGATATCTTAATATCTTACTTTTGTCACATTATTTGTGAGCATTTTTTGAGGCAGATTTTCCTAAGCATCTTTGAAGACTCTTTTAGTAACACTTCCATTCATATCTTCTACAAAACTTGGAGTGACTAGTGTGTACAATATGCTGTACCAGATGCTAAGTCTATAATGGAAAATAAATAGGGCCTTACCCTCAAGAAGCTCACTGTGGAATGGGGACAGACAAGAAAATAAGCACTTACAACACAATATAATATGTGTTATGAGGGCATTAAGTACAAGTATACATGAAGGACACCTAATTAAGTCTTTGGAGGTCAAGAATAGTTTCAAAGAAAATGACATTTGAACTAAGGCCTAAAGGATTAATAGTAATGGAGTGGGTGGAAAGGAATGAGGGAAGAGGTTTAAGAGTGTTCCTTTGGGAAATTGAGAGTAATTAGTTATCAGTAAAATTTAAGGTATAAGGAATAGATGAGGCAGATAGACAAGGCACCTATATTCTTCCAGAAATATTTTATGCACATAAAAATATTCTTTCCTCTCCACACTGACATAAACATTAGCAAACTATACACTCTATTCCACTTTTTAAATGTAGTAATGTATTTTGGAGCTGCTTCATATATGTGGCCCTGGTAGCGCAGTGGTTAAGAGCTACGACTGCTAATCAAAAAAGGCTGACACTTTGAATCTACCAGCTGCTCCTTGGAAACCCTATGAGGCGGTTCTATTCTGTCTTATAGGGTCACAATCAACTCATCGGCAACGGGTTTGGGTTTTTTTGGTTGGTTCATATATGTGCACGAAAAGTATCCTCACTTTTTGACAGCTGCATACTAATACACCATAAGGATGTCCTATAGTTATTAACCAGTCCTTGACTGATGGTTTTAGGTTGTTTCTAATTTGCTTTTACCAACAAGGTGGCAATAAACAACACTGCACATATGTTATAGTGCAAGGATACATGCAGATCAATTCTTATAAGGGAACTCCTGGGACAAAGGGTATGAGATACAAATGTTTGCCTCTTTTACCATTTGCATTTGAATTGTTTATAGTGGTTTTTATTTTTATGTAGTTGAATTTACCTATTCTCTTATGGCTTCTAAGTTTTGTGTCAGAAAAACAGCCCTCTTTTAGTCAGAGATTTAAAAAATTCTATGGTTTCTCCTAATAATGTTATGGTTTTATTTCTTTCATTTAAATATTTGATCATTTGCAATTTATCCTGTTACAGGCAAGGATCCAATTTAATTTTTTTCCCATAAGGATTCCTAGTTGTCCTAACACTTAAATAATTTTTTAATGACATGATCACTTAAATTGTTAAGTGGGACAACTAAGATTCAAGAGTCTATATACAGTATGCTCCCAACACACACACACACACACACACACACACACACACACACACACACACACACATTCACAGCTTAGAAGGAAAAAAATTATTAAAAATACTAGTGAAATTTAAGACTAAAAAAATTCATTCAACTTTTTTTGCAAAATTTCTACAATGGGTCAATCTTTAATCAGAAAGTTACTATAAAACAATATTATAATCTTTCTTCAAGCAAAATAAATTATAGCTTTGAAAAATCATAGGAAAAAAATGCCTACCTCATTTCTATACGGTTTTACATATACTGTCCACTGATGGGTATGTCCATCTTCCTCTCTTTTCTTTCCAAAGTATCGAGCAACATTACCATAAACTATTGGTTTAACAATAGTAACCCCCTAAGAAAAATAAAAGACAATAAATATCGTGCCATTACCCAAATACACAGCATGAGAGCTCTGAAGTAATGGATTAAGTAATGGATTACACCAGCAGTCTAACAACCTGGAGTTTGGCTATAAAATAAATCTCAGTCACTCGTTCTTATTTCATGTTAATACAAATAACACTAGATTAATTAAAATTTCCCATTTTGAAGATGTCTTTTTAAATTACCCATGTAAAGCACTTTGAGGATTTTGTAAAAAGAAGCACAAAGGTCTGTTCCTTACAAACTTTAAAGCTAGCCTTTGGAAAAAAATTGCCAACGTTGACTGCCATCACCAGCTGGTTATGTCAGTAGTTTGTGGAAATTTAGTCAATCGCCTCCTCTTTAATCATCCTATTGAGTGTTTGGAGCCCTGGTGGCACAGTGGTTAAGAGCTCAGCTGCTAACCAAAAGGTCAGCAGTTTGAATCCATTAGCCACTCCTTGGAAACCTTATGGGGCAGTTCTACCCTGTCCTATAGGGTCACTATGAGCCAGAATCTACTGGAAGGCAATGGGTTATTAAACGTTTACCGAAACACTGCAGGAACACCAAAGGCAGTTTGTGTGAGGATGTTATCAGGTAGAATAAAGGCAAATGGTTTTTATTTTAATACTTTATCAGTATTAAGAAAAAACTACAAATAGCAAATAAAACCCAAAATTTAAAAATCTTAATGCGTAAGGTGTTTTTAAAATTGAACTGATTTAAATAAAAATGTTAATATTACAATTGGAGTGAGATATGGCAAAAATGGTAAAATGGCCCTTACATGACTGAAGTTTGGTAAACATGCTTGCTCCATTCCATGCTCAGTTCTTAAATGTACGTTCGACATGTTTCTCATCACTTCTAACAAGCATAAAGGCTGTGTTGACAGATTATGATGGAAATGAAGAGAGATAAGAAATTTCAAGTGAAAATACAGAATGTTGCGCATGAATCTGGGACAAATTGTTCAACAGTAGGAATGTATCTGAAGGACAAAAAACAAGTTGTACCACACACAAAAAAGGCTGTGCCAATGTAATCAACAATATGAAATGAGGAAAAATAGTGAATAAAATGGAAACACTTTTAACTGTGGCTAGATAATCAACAACTAAATCTAATACCTATTAGCCTAAGGTTACTTCAGAAAAAGGCAAACTGTACAAGAACTTAAATAATCATAGTATGCGCTACTGATGAAACTTTTGGGGCAACCATAGATGGGACCTCAGGTTCTAGGCCTGACTGAAGTACAAGGAGCACTGATGTGGTATGTGCATAAGCTTCCACAGCTGCTATGGTATTGCTAAGAATTTGCAGTTTGTTAATGGTAAAAAGGGCTCACCTAGATGAAATTTATCTAACCTGGAAAAATATGCCTGAAAGAGCACATAACAATCAGGAAGGAGGAGAAATGAATCTGTAATTTTCAAGCTTTACAGGGCTAACTCACACCCAATGTTGGTGGAAAAGCATTTGAGGACTGCAGGGTTAAAGTGAAGTCATTTCGGACTTAAATTTACAAACTTTTAGAAACTAACATAATTACAAGCAGAGAAAATTCGGTAACTTCTCCCTCAAAAATCTGTTTTAACCCTTTGTTCTGTAGTAGTTCCCATCAGTCCAAAATCTTACCATAAATGCATGTATTTATAGTTTCTAAGAGATTTTACCTGCATCTCCTTCCCATTCCATTAAATTTCACCAGTTTTTTTTAAATTTTAGAATTCCTACTTTACATGTGATATTAAAACACTTCATAAGACAGCTGTGTATGTAAAAATGTGACATGGGTAAGGACTCTTAAAGAAAAATCAGAATTGCAGATTAACTAGATTGGTGCAATAATGGGTGATTTCTTTTTGAATAATTTTCCTTTCACAATAATAAAAATCAGAACCAGTTGGTCCCAACTTAAAAATTAGTTAACATGCCAAGGTCTGTGGGGAAGCGCAAGAGAAGCGTCACATGCTAGGCTATATACTAACCTTCACCAAAAACAGAAGTTAACGTTTACTGAATGTTCTGTACGCGCCAGACACAGTGTTAGTTTCTTAACATGCCTTGATCAATAACCTCGCCGTAGCTTTGTGAACACCATAAACTCGGGCAAGTTTCCTAACTTTTCTACCCCTCGGTTTTGGCACTTGTAAATACTGCGGTTGATACTGACTTTATACTGTTGTGGTCAGGATTAAATCAGCATCGGGTGGTGTTCAGCCTGTCTTGGGCACACGGTAAGCTCTTATCGAGTATTTGCTACTACTGTAACTATCTTCACAGCCAGGCAGGGGCATCCCGTTTGCCGATGACCACCAAGCCAAGATTCCCCAGCCCTCTAATTGGCCTGCTTCCTCTGCCACGACGTCCAGGTCATCACTGGTTATATTTATTTTTTGGCGGGGAAGGGGGGGATAGTGACGCGGTGAAGTCGGCCTCTGACTCACCGTCCGCCTTTAAATCACAGTTCAAACCCGAGGAGAGAAGGCGCGAAAGAGAAACCGGCCCGCGTCGCGCTGGGAGGGGCCGGGGCGTGAGCGGCACTCCCGGAAGGAAGTCGCAGTCCGGCACTGACCTTCACTCTCCCGCCGGAGTCAGGCCCAAATTCGGCCATTCTCTTGAACATATTGTCCCACAGAAGAAGCCACCGCCGCCGCCAGGGAAAGAGACCGGGGCCGCTGGGATCGCCGCTCCCGTCACAGGCCCCGCTCCTCCCGCGCGGGCGCAGGCGGAGGGTTTCTGGCTGAGGAAGGGCGTGTCACCTGTGCTCGGGTCACTGAGTAACCGCCAACACCTCGCAGTAGACGCCGTCGCCGAAGCCCATTCAGTTCCGCGCCGGAGGAGAGCGGAAAGGAAGAAGGGGCGACGGCTACGCCGTGCGCAGGCGCGGCGGGCTCCCGTGCACAGCGCGCACGCGCCTCTCCGCTGCCGTGGCGCGGGGCGGTCTAGATGGCTGGAACTCGGGGATCATCAGTCAACGTGTCACATGCCCAGACGACTTAGCTTCGTAATAACCGAGAAATTGCCATTTGGAGGCAATACCTTGTCCTCGAGCAAGTGCTCCATTCTGAAGTCAAAATCATGAAATCGACTTGCTGACACAAACCTTCCCCCACAGCTTTTCGTTGTCCTCATGCAGACCACCCATGTCCTCGTTAATTTCTTCCTATCAGCCCCCTTCTTCCTTTCTTTTCCTACTCAGTTTAAATTTTAAGTTCTACGACTTGTCACAATGCTCCGTTGTATTGCATATTGCCCTTCTGTGGCACTACTGCGAAGATTAGTGCTGTACTAAATCAATATTCTCCAATTTAATTGAAGCCTTGGCTAGGGGTCCGCGGTTCTCTGTTACTTTATCTTTCGTAATTATTTTAAAAATTTCTCTAGTCTCAACCTCTAACTGACACTAACTCCCTCATTGTTATCAGATGACTTTGCATCCTACTTCGCAGAGAAAACAGACCCCATGCCACCAGACCGAAACGCGAGCTTTGACTTGTCCAACAGCCACCCTCCCCCTTCCTTCTTCTCTTTAGCGGGAACCGTTCCGTTTACAAGCAATCCCTCTATCTGTGTTCTTGGAACCCAGATGGCGCAGTGATTAAGAGCTTGGCTGCTAACCAAAAGGTCAGCAGTTGAATCCACCAGCCATTGCTTGGAAACCCTATGGGACAGTTCTACTTTGTCCTATAGGGTCGCTATGAGTTGGAATCGAAGGCAATGGGTTTATCTGTGTTCCTGATCTCAATTTTTTTTTTGCTTTCTCAAGGATTTTGCCTGGTCAACCATCCCCACTCTGCTCTGTATCAACTTTTCCTTGTCCTTTGGCTTTTTCTCCTAAGAACGTTTAAACAAGCTTACATCTCTCCTGTTTAAAACCAACCAAGCAAATCTTTAATCCCACATACCTCTGTGTTGTCCTGCATAGTTGAACTTGGAGAAGCTGTCAACATTTCCTGTCTGTTTCCATACCCTCTTCAATCCACCACTTCTAACTTTCACCCTCACTGAAACCAAAGATACTGACGTCTCTATCAGTAAATCCTCTTGGCAGTATCCACTGCCTCCTTTAGTGACACCAATTTCTTTTGGTTTTCCTCCTTCTTCCGTGGCACCTCCTTGATTTCCAGGGTAGTCGCTCTCTCCTCTATGTTCCCGTAGTGCCTGAGGGATTGTAACATTTATCATGTTATATTTTAATTATTTAAAAACTCCATGAGGGCAATAACTAATCCAACCAAATGTGGAAATTATCAAACGATATCATTAATATCACACGCAAGTAAAATTTTACGGAAGATCGTTCAAAAACAGCTGCAGCAGTATATTGGCAGGGAGCTGCCAGAAATTCAAGCTGGATTCAGAAGAAGATGTGGAACCAGGGATATCATAGCTAATGTCAGATGGATCCTGACTAAAAGCAGAGAATACCAGAAAGATGTTTACCTGTGTTTTATTGACTATGCAAAGGCATTTGACTGTGTGGATCATAACAAATTATGGATAACATTGGGAAGAATGGGAATTCCAGAACACTTAATTGTGTTCATGAGGAACCTGTACGTAGACCAAGAGGCAGTCATTCGAACAGAAAAAGAAGATACTGCGTGGTTTAAAGTCAGGAAAGGTGTACATCAGGATTGTACCCTTACACCATACCTATTCAGTCTGTATGCTGAGCAAATAATCAGAGAAGCTGGACTATATGAAGAAGAACGTGGCATCAGGATTGGAGGAAGACTCATTAACAACCTGCGACATGCAGAGGACACAACCTTGCTCGCTGAAAGTGAAGAGAACTTGAAGCACCTACTGATGAAGATCAAAGACCACAGCCTTCAGTTTGGATTACATCTCAACATAAAGAAAACAAAAGTTCTCACAACTGGACCAATAAGCAACGTCATGATAAATGAAGAAAAGGTTGAAGTTGTCAAGGATTTCATTTTACTTGGATCCACAATCAACACCCAGGGAAGCAACAGTCAAGAAATCAAAAGATGCATTGCATGGGGCAAGTCTGCTGCAGAAGACCTCTTTAAAGTGTTAAAAAGCAAAGATGTCACCTTGAAGACTAAGGTGTGCCTGAACCAAGTTATGGTGTTTTCAGTTGCCTCGTATGCATGCGAAAGCTGGATGATGAATAAGAAAGACCGAAGAATTGACGCCTTTGAATTGTGGTGTTGGTGAAGAATATTGAATATACCATGGACTGCCAAAAGAGCAAACAAATCTGTCTCGGAAGAAGTATAACCAGAATGCTCCTTAGAAGCAAGGATGGTGAGACTACCTTTCACATACTTTGGACATGTTGTCAGGAGGCATCAATCCCTGGAGAAAGACATCATGGTTAGTAAAGTAGAGGCTCAGCAAAAGAGAAGAAGACCGTCAAAGAGATGGATTAACACGTGGCTGCAACAATGGGCTCGAGCATAACAATGATTGTGAGGATGATGCAAGACTAGGCAATGTTTTGTTCTGTTGTACATAGGGTTGCTATGAGTCGGAACTGAGTCGACGGCACCTAACAAGAACAGCAACATTCAGTTTAGTAGCCTCAGCTTCTGGTGATCATTTGCTGTGACTTATAATCAATGTCTGTTGAATAGATGAATTAATGAAAAACAGAGACGTCAAGAAGACTTGAGGCTATTCTTCAAAAGGTAATTGAAATCAGTCAGATCTGTTAAACCACTGTCCTACAAGGTCCTCCACACACAATATAGTTTTTTGTTCTCTGTACCCTTTCTTGAGTTTCACTTTTTTCTAATCATGCTTTCAGAATGTGATCCCTGGACCCCCGATTTTTTTTTTTTAATAATTATTCTCCGGTTTTCCTTTTTTTTTTCTTCCTCCTTGTTTCTCAGTGGATTTTATTTTTTGCTTAAAATGTTACCTTAAGTATTTTTAAGGTAAAATAAAATTTCATAAAATAAAATAAACAAATGTATAAAACACATTTGGATCTTTTGGGGAAAGATAATGGATTGAACACACATCTTTTGCTTCTTCCCCAAATTCCTCTAAAACAAGTAAATGATTTTTACAAAAGGCATAATCCCATTAGAATGGGGAAAATGGGAGAGAAAGCAGCAACCAAAATTTGAAATCTGGTACGCAAATGGCAAGCGGTAAAGGACAGACCTGAGAACTGAGCAGGCAGAGCTAATAACCAAGTCAATTTACACTGCAGCACAACAACCCCCCACCCCCACCCCACCCCAAGATCCATACAGTCAAGCAATTGCACCTTATCTACTCCAAAGTATAAAATAGGATCTTTGCACTAAGGAACACCAGACAGAGCTGAAGGAGGATACCATCCAGAAAACGGGTAGGTTAACCAAACATGTGCCTACCACCTGCTGAGACCCTCGTCCCTCACTTAGCTATTTAAAATGCTGGCAAGTAGGCCTTTGTTTTCTCATAGGGTATAGGGAGAGGCTTCTCTGGGGAATCTGACCAGCCTAAGAGGAGGGATCTAAGGCTTTCCAATGAAACTAACCCAACCTAGCTTGATCATCCTACAGTGAAGTACAGTGTTCAAATCCAGTTAGACACTGGGCACTTCAAATTAACTTTTAGTTGCCCACTCCTATATTAAGTAGGTGATCAAAGATTACCAGACATATGAGGAAAACCTCTAATATGAAAGAGGTAATCCAAAAAGAAACAAATAGAAATGGCAAATTAGAGGAAACATAGAGAAGAAAACCAAAACAACACAAATTAAAACTATTATTACTACTCGGATAAAATAGGATGTCACAAATATGACACAAAAACAGGAAAAAAGGAACATCCAGAAAACAAAAAAGAGCTGTTAGAAATTAAAAATATGGTAGCAGAAACGAAAACCTTAATAAAAATATTAGAAGCTTAAATTGAAGAAATCTCCCAGATACTAGAACAAAAGACAAAGAAATGGAAAATAGGACAGGAAAGATAAGAACATCAGAGGACCAGTCTAGAAGTTCCAGAAAGAGAAAACAAAGAAAATGGAAGGAAGCAAATCATCAATAAATGATTCAAGAAAGTTTTCCAGAACTAAAGGATATGTTTCCAAACTGAAAGATCCCACCAAGTACCAGTACAAGGATGAAAACAGACCTACATTAAGGCACATCATTGTGAACTTTCAGAACATGAGGATAAAGAGAAGATTTCACAAACTTCTAGGTCATAAAAATTCAGGAATCGTAATGGCTTCAGATTGCTTAATAGGAACAGCAACATTTGAATCTAGGGAGCAATGAGGTATTACCTTCAAAATTCTGACGGAACATTACCTCCAACTAAGTATTGTGTACTAAGTTGGCTATACTTACAGGCAACTATCAATCAAGCGTATGAATAGAATAAAGACAATTTTAGACATGCTAAGACTCAAAAAATAAAAATTAAAATAAAACCTCTCATTCACCCTTCCTCAGAAGGGCCTGGAGATGTAATCCACCAAAATGAGGGAATAAGCCAAAAAGGAGGAAATCTTGAAATACAGGAAGCACAATAATTATCAAACATGGAGAGAGAAGAAGAGAATCTCAAGACGACACTGAAAGAGTGAGCCTAGGATGACAGCTATGTAGTAGGTAAACCCGGCAACCAGTCTAGATTAGCTCTGGTCAGAAATCTTTGGGTGATACTGCTTCAGGAAAATGAAATTGATAAAATTCCAGCTGTATCTGAAGAATTGAGAGGAGACTTAAATATTAGACTTAGAGTTTGGGAGTTGAATTAATGACAGATACACAGAAAGCTAGGCAAAATTTAAAATTATGCAGCTATTAACTTTGGGGAAAACAAAATCTTGTGTAAGAAAAGAAAGGAACTATATTTACAACTAGGTAAACCCTGAGTATTGATCCAACCAAAAAAAATTATATAATTACGTTGGAAGGATGGGTTTTGGGGAACAGTGCATGTGTAGTGGGGATGGGAAGCGTGGCTAGAGCTTAATTCTTAACTTCCATAGTGGGAAGTCAGTATCCTAAAATGGAAAAATCAAGAAGGAGCAATATAAGCCTAATATTTAAAGTCATGGAGGTAAATATAAAAAGAGCTAAATATAAATAAGCTAAAGGAGTAGAAAGTGGTTGCATCTGAAGAGGGAGAGATGGGGGGTACATTTTTTGTAACAAGCCTTGTAGAGCTATTCGACTCTATAAACATGGAGAATTTATAATGTTATTAAAAATAAAAATTAAAAGCAATTTTAAAAGATAACTTGCATGATAGACATGCATTTAAAATGATTTTGAAAAATATCAAATATCATCTCTGTTAATGACTACAGCTTCAAGTGATTACAATTTTTAGTAATTCCCTTTACTGACTTATAAAAAATATTTTAAAAATGATTCCGCTAAATTGAAGTGTAAGAAACATGCTCAGGGCTTAGTTATAATTAGTGCCACATGAAGAGCTCAGTTATTGCCTAGACTATCACCCTGAATTTCAAATAATATCCTGGGGTGAAACTAAGCAACACAGAAGTTGAGTTTCTTTTGACAATGATCAGGCACTAATACTGATTTTTATTATGTTCTCAGAATGAGAGTAGAAATTTGGTTTGGAAATTTGATTGTATTAAGACAACAGATATTATCAAGAACACCAAACAAACTCTCCAACAAACATTGCTTTCCATTTTCAGCCAACTTCTGCTGTTTCCTTAGTCAGCCTGGTTCTTCTTGGTTACGTCTCACCTTTGTTTCTTAACTGTCACTCTTCATATCTCTATCCCCTACCTTGACCCATACTTCGTACACCTCAGAGAATCCTGCCCCAGCTTCCTGAGTTTATTCATATCAAGATAGTCCCAGAGCCTAAAGCTGTACCTGTGTTGGGGCCCTCTGCTCCTCACCCACCATGGATGCTTTATGCACTACATTCTCATAGGCTTTAGGCTGACTCTTGGAATACCAGAAGCTGTTGTAATGGAATGACATGGGCTTGAAGAATATGAAAAGTTTTGTAAGGATCAACATAGAGGAATATACTAAAGAATCGACGAGATTCAATCAACCAGTATTTATTGAGCATGTACCATATTCAAAGCACTATTCTAAGTGTTGGAGCCCTGGTGGTGTAGTGTTTAAGAACTATGGCTGCAATTCAAAAGGATGGCAGTTCAAATCCACCAGCTGCTCCTTGGAAACCCTATGGAGCAGTTCTGCCCTGTCCTATAGGGTCACTATGAGTTCGAATCGACTAGACGGCAACGGGTTTAGGGTTGATTCTAAGTGTTTGGGATATGTTGTTGTTAGCTCCTCAGAGCCCGACTCACGGCAATTCCATCTCTTACAAAGCAGAACTGCTCCATAGGGTTTTCTTGGCTGTAATCTTTACAAAATCAGCTCACCAGGTTTTTCTTCCTCAAAAACACTGGGTGAGTTTGAACTGCCAACCTTTAAGTTAGTAGCAGATGGCAGACTGCTTGTGCCAGCCAGGTGGGAGTGAACAAAAGGGTAAAAAAAATTTCTGCCCTCCTTCCTATCAGAAGAGTGGTTCAGCATGGTGTGTCAGAGCAGTGACACAGTAAGGAGGGGTCCAGGTGTGTGTGGGTGGCAACCCAATGAGAGGTATCAGAGCCTGAGTAGGGTGAAGAAGACATCTATTCTCTCAGTATAATACAAGGCAAGCAGGGGCTCGGGGAAGCAGAGGACTGGGGGGAGGGTATGGGATTTTGAAGAAAGAGGAGAAGAAGTAAAATAGTAATATTTATTTTAGAGAGTGGGGACATCAACACAGAAGGATTGCAGAGAAATGACGAAGACAGCCAGGCAGGTTTGAGTGTTCATTTGAGATTTGTAGGTGTGAATTTAAAATGAGAACTGTCAGGATGCTTGTGTATTTTTCTGCAGCAATATCCAGCTGCTTGGGTGCAAGTAAGGATACAGGAAATATATTGAGTGCCAAATCATTTTTTTCAGTTTTTTTTCTTCAGAGACTCTAGATGTCTTAAACAAAGACAGACAAGGTATGAGTTACAAAGCCTTTAATGACCATGTTTGCATTTTTTTTTACAATGTGCATAATTTCATACCTGTAGTTAATTAGCAATTATTTCAATACTTGCAAAACTCATCTGCCTTCTGGATTTAGTCTTGATGCATGAATTTACATTAATAAAACTAAAGAATAGCAATCACTTTTCTAATCTTTCTTTATGTTCCTTCATGATTAACAAGATGCATGAGAGAGTTTTTAAAGGACTAAAAGAGATGGAAATGTAAATTGCGAGTCTATTTGTAAAGCTGCATAAAAGCAGCTTTTTCTAAGAAAAAAATTTCAACCAAAGGTCACACACTTCGTGAAAACAAAATTCTTAATTCAGGCAATCAGCACTTCAGCCATTTGGCATTCTGCATCTTTTTAAATTTTATATTGCCCAATAAAGAGTGACCATCTTTACTGCTTTTGAAGATGACTGAACAGTTGAAGGCATCGTATGCCTACACAGTTGGGATTCGGCCTGAGATCAATTTATTCTGAGATAGTCTTTTATTACATTTTTATCTAATATTATGGAGTAACTGTATTAGTCAAGATTAAGTCTGGGCTATTTCTTTGATTATGAACTGAATATATTGGAGATGTATTTGTTAACCAAGACTTTAGATTCATTTCCACCAGCATTAGTTCTTTTAAGCAAACTGAAAAATGTTGTAGACGTAATATCAAATAGTACACACGTTATTAATCATTAAGCCTTAGAAGAAAGGTGATATTTTGTTCCTGCTTCTGTAAAAAATTCTGTGATTGAAGGGGAAAGAATGGTAGTATGACCTTTCAATTATTTACTACTCCCTTAATACGAAAAAGAGGCAAAAGTGAGTTGAAGAATGAAAACTCCACAGTTAAACTCCACAACCTTGAATGTATTGAGTGAGATCTTGGTTCTCACAATGCTTCTTCCATGCCACCCTATAGAGAAAGGTCAAACAAACCGTGTAAAGGTTAAAGTATCTTTGTTGTATATACCTACTTCAAATCTTTTGGGGGAACAAAGTATTTACCAATAAATAAACTATAGGCTATAGATAGTCAGTATTATTACTTATTAAATGGAGATATACAAAGCACTCCACTCCTTCCCAAAGCCCTCACTAGAACATCAGAATGCAGAATACAAATGCTGAGTAATGTGCATTCCACATCAGGAGCTACAAAATACATTATACATTTCTTTGTTCTAAAAATTATTTCAAGATATGACAAGCATGCACAGTGTGGAGAATCTTAAAAACTCTAGAAACCCCCTAAAATAAATTGATGAGGCAGAGAGTAAGATTCTGAATCAGTTAAGGTAGATTGTTTCTTCAAGAATAGAGTTAATATATTGTTCACCATAAACCTAAAGACGCAACTTTTAGTTCTCAGTAGTGTACTTTGGCCTTTGAAAGCCTGCTCTCTGCACAAATCAATAGTAGGGTACAATAATTTACCCCTTTAACGCTTGAAAACATACCATGCTCTAATGCCTTGTGGATCGCGGACAACCCTCTTCGCGCAAGCTATAGCTTGAGTGATATCATCTTGCAGCAAAACTGAAAAAGAGGCAGCGAGGAATGAAAACAGCTTTCACAGAAATCTCATTATAAGTTTAGGTTTACCCAGCTTTACTCTATTAGGCTGAGGAAGGAATACTAGACCGTTATTTTCCAAGAGTCCATATGTCTGTGAATAGGAGGAGAATTTTCTCTTCATTCCATCTCATTTGGCACGAAACAAAGCATTTTGTTTATCATTTATGAAAGTTGTTGAAATTAGTAACTAATATCATCTTAGGTCCTGTTTGTACTTGTTATTGTTGTTAGGTGCCCTCAAGTTGATTCCGACTCATAGCAACCCTATGTACAACAGAACGAAACACTGCCCAGTCCTGCGCCATCCTCACAATCATTGCTATGTTTGAGCCCATTGTTGGAGCCATGATGTCAATCCATCTCGTTGAGGGTCTTCCTCTTTTTTGCTGACCCTCTACTTTACCAAGCATGATGTCCTTCTACAGGGACTGGTCCCTTCTGATAACATGTCCAAAGTATGGGAAACTAAGTCTCGCCATCCTTGCTTCTAAGGAGCGTTCTGGCTGCACTTCTTCCAAGTACATGTGGTGGTTGTACTAGGCAATGTAAAAAAAAAAATTGCCTAGTAATTTTTTATTTAGCAATTCCACTTCTAGGAAATGAGCTGAAAGATATATGCACAAGGCTTCTCATAGTAATTTACGAAAGGGAAAAGTGGAAACAAGTGTTTTCAGCAGGAGTTGGATCAATAAATTGTGGAATATTCATGTAATGGAATTCTATACATCCTTTAAAAATGATAATACAGATTTGTATTTGTTGTCATGGAAATAATTTTAAATAATAAAAAGCAAGTTGTAAAGCAGTATATAGAATGCAATTTCATTTTTGTAGAAACATACATTGCTTTCGTGTTTGTACGTGGGTAAACGTGTGCATGAGATACTGCTTCACATTCATTACATGATATAGTCTTGAAAAGTATATGCCAAAAAGTTAATAATGGTTATAAATTTCTGAGAGGTAAAATTGTGGGTGATTTTGTTTCTCAGTATTTTCTAATGTTTATTCAGTGACCACAGGTTATTATATAATACAAAATATTCTTTAAATTACATTAACTGGATTTTAAAAGAAGAATATTCTAAGACTAATCTTTTCTATTAGGGATTTAACATTTAAAAACTCAATAATATTAACTTTGCAATACTTATTCATTATTTTCTGCACTAAAGATTCCATATGTTATTTTTATTTTTATATGAGCTCAAGACAATATTTGTTTCACCCCAAATAAACAAATCCATAAAATAACTTATTAGGAGTATCTAGAACTTGAGATAGAGTTCTTCTAGGTCTCTGATGAACCCTTCAAGGCTTTTTTATTTGCACTGAATCTCTAGTAAGTATAACCAGATGGATCCTCTGCCATCACTTATACACTATCTTGTCTTACCATTGCAAGATATGCCACAGGCATTAACTGCTCCTGGGGTTTTGCCATCATTACACCAGTAGCGGCTATTGATCTGAAAAATCCCGTAATCAGTGCTTTTGCTTCCAGGATTGTAGTTTGTAGCTTTGGTGTTGTAACTACTCTCCCATCGGGCCAAACACACCCCTGAAAGGTAATAAGCAAGCAACACCAAATTACCTATATTGTAAGTATAAAGATATATTCAATTTGCTAAATATTTTAACATTTTAGTGTTAAAGGGCCCCTAAGAGAGTCCTTTTTACAACGCAAATAACTTTTTAATACTAATGAAACAAGCTAACATACTTTAAAAAATATTAAAGTAGGGGTTTCTTCCATTGCTTTTACCCTTCCCCTGTTCCTCAGGCAACATTCAGCCTAGAATGCTGAGTGGGTTTTTTAAATTCATAGGAGATACATAAACCAATACCAGTTGCCTTCCAGTCGACTTCAACTCATGGTGCCCCCATGTGTATCAGAGTAGAACTGTGCTCCATGGGGTTTTCAATGGATGATTTTTTCCAGAAGTAGATAGCCAGACCTTTTTTCTAAGGCACCTCTGGGTAGACTCAAACCTCTAACCTTTCAATTAGCAGCTGAGTGCATTAATCACTTGCAGCATCCAGGGGTCCCTAGACTGATGGAAAAATGCTTTTGATTAGAGAAAATAAAGATTTTCTGAGAGATTAAAATTTTCTTAAAATCCTTAAAAGGGTATTTGAATATAAAGTCATACTCTGCAAATCAAGAGTTATAGAATAGGAAGAAATATTTTATCTATCAGTTCATTCATTTACTTCTTTATTCAAAAATATTTACTGAGGGGAAATGTTTGAATTCAATCTGAAAAGTACAGTGATGATATTGGCAAATATGGACTAAGATACAAAGTAACTTTTACTCAGGGCACATCTTGAACTGTGTGGAAGAAAATGAAAAATAGTTAATCAACCAGATGAGTAAGAATTTAAAAAAACATTATTTCATGCTGAGTTTCATGCTAAACGTTACTGTTAAAGATCTTATGTTGTGACGGGAATTTTTAAAAACATACTGCATCACTCTAGGCTCTCAGGAGTAAAGTAAGGAGGAACTGACAGAGATATTCTAGGTCCTCAAATGTATCTTTCAGTCAGCCTACTTGTGCCATTGAGTCTGAGGCAACTGGCAAATTCAGTGGAACTAGAAGAGTACAACAGGTCCTATTGTACTTAGAACGGTAGGAATTTTGCCCTTCCTTACCATTATTCCTGAATCTGGTATCTCTGATTTTAAAGGAAAAAATTAGTGTTTTTAACCATTGTAAGTATACAAACGCCAGTGAAACTTTAAAAAGTGCATTCACTCAGAGCCCCTTCCTAATACTCATCCTCTCCTAGTATCTCTTTCTCTCCCGGGCAAACACGCAGAAGTATGAAGGAGAGTGGACTTACAGTCTGCCAGGCGGATTCCGTGGTAGCCACCCATTCCATTTCGTTTCAAAGTTCTGGCAAACTCGCACCTTTCAAAGATCTTGCCCTGGACAGAGGCAGAAAGGAAGAGAAGCCCCAGAATAAGGAGAGCCTTCATGTTGACTGGGAAGTCACACCACTCGGCTGACCAGGGCGAGCTGGTCCCAGTATTTAACATATTTTAACTTCCTCCTCCTAATGGTTTGGGGACACCACCCTTTGAACTATGGGGAAAGCAGGAACTGTTTATCCACTGACATTAAAAAGTTTTTCTTGTGTGGGTGTCTTTGTTTTTTTACGTTTGAAGATAGAGATCTTGATCTCCTAAGGATTACCTACAGGAAAATGATGAAAGAAGGTACATTGTTTAAACACCTGACTCAGGAAGAACTGGGAAGTTGTATTGTTTCCAGAACAGAAACATTCTCCTTTATTTTATATTCAAGCAACTCTAAAGAAAAAAACAAAACTAACTAATGAACACTTTACATTGCACAAAGTGAGCCCTGATCTTTAATTAACATTCATTTTCATGAAATTGTTTTGTGTGCATTCACTACTTTCTACTCATCTTTTTGACTTAAAATTATCTTACATGCACTTTTCCACAAATGGACATGAAAACATGTGCCTGTCATTTTAGTGGGTATATAGCATGATATCATGTTGCTTGGCCACTTCCCTATTCTAGACATTTTCTGTTACTATTGTAATTTTTTTACTATTATAAATCCAATTTTTCACTGTTATAAATAAGTCTGCTGTGAACAACTTTCCTGGCTCCTTTTCCACAATGCCTTGCCTCGCATTTCCATTTAGAGCATAAAGGGTCATTATAAAGCACTAAACCCGGTGCCGTCAGTCGATTCTGACTCATAGTGACCCTACAGGACAGAGTAGAACTGCCCTATAGGGTTTCCAAGGAGCGCCTGGTGGATTCGAACTGCCGACCTTTTGGTTAGCAGCCGAACTCCTAACCATTTTGCCACCAGGGTTTCCTATAAAGCACTGGGACTTTCAAAAAATTAAATATACCCAAATAGATATATTCAACTAAGTGCTGCCTTTAAAAATAGTGATCTCAGGGGGCTGTGCACATTTTAAGAACAATGCTGTGTACATTTTTTTTTAAAAAACAGTGCTGCCAGAGCTCAAAAAAGAATTGTCCTTCTAGACCTGCCTATGAAGACAGATTATGAGCTACACAAAATGGTATTACTTTGTAGTTACTGTTATTTTTCATCAATAGCAGTCTCTCTCTGTCCTCTAAGATTATTCTCCAGCATTGTCTCTAAATGACTGGTTAGGGAACTTGTCTAAAACAAAAATCAAGAATAACTCCATTTTTCAAGCTAGTTCTAATTTTGCTACTTTATGATAAATATAGTGACATTTTCAGGACCCAAAGAGACAGAAACCAGTTTAAAACATTAGTCTTTGGTCCCCTTTATACTCTCTCCAACTCAATGCTGAAGAACATATCGTTATTACCCACGCTGGTCTCAGCCCTCTGCTGATGAGATTAACTTTTCTTTTTAAATATCTGAATAGTTCTGGACTTCCACTTTATTGGGATGGGATAAGGCAATATTTGCTTGCCACCCAGAACCAAAATGATAGCATGATAATGTGAATATTTCAAAGAGTAGAGGTGTTTTTGTCCCTTTAACTATCTCCCCGGGGGCAGAAATGATAAGCAGTGATAACATCGTATTAAAATCCTATTATTTCATTTGAAGTGATTTTAATTAGCAAGCTATTTAAAAATAAAATAGCAAGTAAGCACACTTTTTGGGTAGAGATTTTTCCCCCCAGAAATTTTATATGAATTGCATGTTTATTTGGTGCAGTATATGCATTTTATCCTTTTGGAAAAAGTGTGTATAGATCCTGGATTATTTAGTTATATTATAATACACAATGCTATTGTTGTTGTTAGGTGCCCTCGGGTTGGTTCCGACTCATAGCAACCCTATGTGCAATAGAATGAAACATTGCCTGGTCCTGCGTCATCCTCACAATTATAGCAATGTTTGAGCCCATTGTTGCAACCACTGTGTCAACCCATCTCCTTGAGGGTCTTTCTCTTTTTCACTGATGCCCTAACTTACCAAGTATGATGTCCTTCTCCAGGGACTGGTCCCTCCTGATAACATGTGTAAACTAAGTGGGATGAAGTCTTGCCATCCTTACTTCCAAGGAGCACTCTGGCTATACTTCTTCCAAGACAGACTTGCTTGTTTTTCTGGCAATCCGAGGTATATTCAATATTCTCCGCCAACACCATCATTCAAAGGCTTCAATTCTTCCTTGGTCTTCCTTATTCACTGTCCAGCTTTCACATACATATGAGGCAATTGAAAATATCATGGCTTGGGTCAGGTGCAACTTAACCCTCAAAGTAACAACTTTGCTTTTCAACACTTTAAAGAGGTCTCTTGTAGCAGATTTGCCCAGTGCAATATGCTATTTGATTTCTTGACTGCTGCTTCCATGGGTGTTGATTGTGGATCCAAGTAAAATGAAATCCTTGACAACTTCAATGTTTTTTCCATTTATTATGATGCTGCTTATTGGTCCAGTTGTGAGGATTTTTGTTTTCTTTATGTTAAGATGTAATCCATACTGAAGGCTGTAGTCTTTGATCTTCATCAGTAAGTGCTTCAAGTCCTTGCTTTCAGCAAGCAAGGTTGTGTCATCTGCATATAGCAGGTTGTTAATGAGTCTTCCTCCAATCTTAATGCCACGTTCTTCTTCATATAGTCCACTCTTGGGTTATTTGCTCAGCACACAGATTGAATAAGGATGATGAAATGATACAACCCTGATGCACACCTGTCTTCACTTCAAACCACAGAGTATCCCCTTGCTCTGTTCGGACCACTGCCTCTTGGTTTACATACAGATTCCTCATGAGCACAATTAACTGTTCTGGAATCCCCATTCTTCCCAATGTTATCCATAATTTGTTATGATCCACATAGTCAAATGTCTTTGTATAGTCAGTAAAACACAGGTAAACATCTTTCTGGTATTCTCTGCTTTCAGCCAAGATGCATCTGACACCAGCAGTGGTATCCCTTGTTCTGTGTCCTCTTCTGAATCTGGCTCAAATTTCTCACGGTTCTCTGTTACTGTACTGTTACAACTGTTTCTGAATTATCTTCAGAAAAATGTTACTTTTCTGTAATATTAATGATATTCTTTGATAATTTCTGCATTCTGTTGGATCACCTTTCTTTGGAATGGGCAAAAATATGGATTTCTTCCAGTCAGTTGGCCAGGTAGCTATCTTCCAAATTTCTTGGCATAAACGACTGAGAGCTTCCAGCATTGCATCTGTTTGTTGAAACATCTCAATTGGTGTTCCTTCAATTCCTGGAGTCTTGTTTTTTGCCAATGCCTTCATTGCAGCACCTTCTTCTTCCTTTAATACTATCGGTCCTTGATCATATGCTACCTCCTGAAACGATCGAATGTTGACCGATTCTTTTTGGTACAGTGACTCTGTGTATTCCTTCCATCTTCTTTTGATGCTTCCTGTGTTTTTCAATATTTTGCCCACAGAATCCTTCACTGTTGTAACTTGAGGCTTGAATTTTTCCTTCAGTTCTTTCAGCTTGAGAAATGCCGAGTGTTTTCTTCCCTTTGGATTTTCTAACTGCAGGTCTTTGCACATTTCTTTATAATACTTTACTTTGTCTTCTCAAGCCACCCTTTGAAATCTTCTGTTCAGCTCTTTGACTTCATCATTTCTTCTTTCTCTTTAGCTACTCGATGTTCAAGAGCAAGTTTCAGAGTCTCTTCTGACATCCACTTTGGTCTTCTCTTTCTTTCCTATCTTTTTAATGACCTCTTGCTTTCTTCACGTATGATGTCCTTGATGTCCTCCCACAACTCTTCTCGTGTTCGGTCATTAGTGTTCAATGCATCAAATCTATTCTTGGGATGGTCTCCAAATTCAAGTGGGATATACTCAAGGTCATATTTTGGTTCTCGTGGACTTGTTTTAATTTTCTTCAGTTTCAATTTAAACTTGCATATGAGCAAATGAGGAAACCCTGGTGGTGTAGTTGTTAAGAACTACGGCTGCTAACCAAAACGTCGGCAGTTTGAATTCACCAGGTGCTCCTTGGAAACTCTATGGAACAGCTCTACTCTGTGCGATAGGGTCACTATGAGTCAGAATCGACTTGACAGCAATGGGTTTTTTTTGTTTGGTTTTTTGTTTTTATGAGCAATTGATGGTCTGTTCCACAGTAGGCCCCTGGCTTTCTTCTGACTGATGATATTGAGCTTTTCCATCATCTGTTTCCACAGATGAAAGGGGGACACTATAACTTTGTGAATATCTTTCATCTTGTTCCTGGAGGAGAGGGTGAATAGAACTCTGTAAATATTCAGGTTCCTGGTGATAGTTGGCCTGATAGCGGCTTCAGTCATCACGTACCCTACCTTTCTCTAACCTCACCACCTTGGCAAATAAGTAATTTTTCAGTTTGAAGAGCAAGCTACTTTTGTGTAAACTTTGGCATAATTTTAAATATGACTTCCTAGGTTAAGACCCGCACAGGAGCCAATGTCAAGATTAGGGATTAATTATTACCTGTGTTCAAACTTAACACCCAGCTCTGGCAGTTATTCGATTTAGACTCCTGGGAAAGTTATTTAATCCTTTAAAGTTTTAGTGGATATATCCTACCTGAATTTAGAGACCATCTCAAGAATAGTTTTGACACATTGAAAACTAATAACTGAAGATTAGATGAGTTATGGAATGACATCAAGGACATCATACTTGAAGAAAGCAAGAGGTCATTAAAGAGACAGGAAAGAAAGAAAAGACCAAAATGGATGTTAGAAGAGAGTCTGAAACTTGCTCTTAAACATCGAGTAGCTAAAGAAAAAGGAAGAAATGATGAAGTAAAAGAGTTAAACAGAAGATTTCAAACGGTGGCTCGAGAAGACAAAGTAAAGTATTATAATGACATGTGCAAAGACCTGGAGATAGAAAACTAAAAGGAAGAACATGCTCGGTATTTCTCAAGCTGAAAGAACTGAAGGAAAAATCCAAGCCTCAAGTTGCAACAGTGAACGATTCTGTGGGTAAAATATTGAATGACACAGGAAGCATCAAAAGAAGATGGAAGGAATACACAGAGTC